TTTGAAAATATAGCATAGGAACATGGATCCCGTGATAACATCAACTAAAGGGAAATAAAACAAGTCGGTGTCGAAAAGTGGAATGGTAGAGTTTTCCTTTTTCTTTTTTTGTTTGTTTGTTTGTTTGTTTGTTTTTAACCTTGCACTCAGAGGTCTGTGGGCCAAGGGTAGTCTTTCTTTTCGCTCCGTCAAACATTTCATATACCTGTCAGTCTTTAATCATAACATAATTATCTTTCAAAGGATTCATCAGTCATGGGTGGCGGAAAGCACAAGCAATGATATGTTGGACGATCGCTAAACGACGACCTTCAAGGGTAACTCTCATGATAAACCTATAAATATCGCGTCTGTCCGTGAAAATCTCGAGCAACTTAGAGTGGAAGGGGATAAAATCCCAGGAGGAACTGAAGAGCAATTCTACCAACCGGTATGCTCTCAAGTTCGACCTCATTTCAAGGACAGGAAATGGGTTTATTTAGGGATCGAGGCTCAAGATTAAAAAATATCTCCGATCAAGGCAGCAAAGACTAAGCCACCGACAAAGTCTCTCCTCATACCGGCTGTTTGTTTGTTTGATTGTTCTGTTTTGTTTTTTCCTCAAGTCTTTCGGCAATTTTTGTTCCTTTTCCTTTCCAGTGGTCCACCAGGCTAGTCACGCAACGAGCTCATCCATACGTGACAAGCGAAAAAGATGGCTACGAAAAAGAAATGAACAAATCCAAACAGAGCTCTTAAGCCTATATTTTTGAACAGAACAAATGCCAAGAACTAGACAGCGTGTGCTCCGTTGGTATTCATTTGTTTCTCAGAAAAGAAGGAACTGCGCATTCGTCAAAACTGATATGGGTCAATGTCATTATTTTAGGAAAGATCGTCATTTCACGAAGTCAAGGAGCATTAGGAATGAGGCTTATCGGGTTTTACGTCCTATTCTTTATATTTTTCATGCCATCTCTCGTAACAGGTTAGTTCAGTCATGTCAAAACGTCAATCGATCTTCGAACGCTTTTAAGGGGTTTTTGGGGAATCATACCGTGTAAACTTTCAAGTGGGTAATTGCGGGTTTGGCCAAAGCAAAAGTTTAGATTTAGCATCGGTGAGACGTGAATTTTAGAAGCAATTTTTCCTACGCTCTTCATGATCATCATACATACATCAACATGTCATCATACTTTGAAGCTAGCACTAGTCTCGTCCGAGAACCCTTAACTCGTTTAAGAATCAATAACAGTTCTGTTTTGATAATTCATGATATCATGCTCAGCCTCATCCAACAATTGTTTAGAGGTTTTAATTTTTTCGCTGACTTATCTCTACTCCTTGGAGAAAGTATTTTGTACAACTTATTTTTCATCTTGAGTCTTATCACCGATGCACATTACGATTTTTATTCGGTGATTGTCGATCCTTTTATTTTTATTCATCGGAAAGTTGGATTTTCTTGTCAGTAAAGGGCTATTGTTCTTATATGATAAACAAAATCATGTCTTGGAGTCAAATCAAAGTGTCATACAGAGGACATCCAATGTCAGTTCTTTAATACTAATGAAGATTCCAAGCATCACTAAAGCAAACAGTGGTGTCTATTACATGTACACAGAGAATATTATCGGCAGTGATATTCTCACTGTGAGGGTTTATGTGGAAGGTAAGTTTATTCTATTCAATTGTACTCACTGTTGTTGGATTCCTGCCTGAGGCTTTTCACGAAAGCAAGGAAATGCTTTTTAAAGTCATGAAAAAGGGAGCTCTGGTTACTAGATGCCATCAGAGGACCTTAATTTCTTAAAAAAAAAGCAATTTATGGAACACTACACCAGTAGTATTTGGGAGTCCATTTACCATTACGGCTCATACACAAGTTTTTACGGTGCTTTATTCATTTACATCGGAGCCCTCTTCTCTTTAGTTGAGAGAATTATTTACCTATTGTTAAAGGATTATTACACATTTAAAACCATGGCTGAGGTGTCTCTTGTGTTTTTTCCTGCATTTAGGCATCCCAGGCCAGGTAAACACTACAACACTTACTTTTTCTCACTACTCTTTCCTCCTCTTGTCTCTTTCCTCTCTTCCCTACTCACTTTTCCCACTCTCTTCTTTGGAGGATCAATTTATGATTATTGTAATGTTAATCAGGTATCGCATTGGTGGTGATTCAGAGAATAGAGGCTTTTTGCAGCATTTCGTACATCGTTATTTTGGTACCTTCTTTCTCTAATTTATGTTCGCATTTAACTGATATACAGGTTTTTTTATTATGTTAAAATTAGATGTTTTATCTCTCATGAAGGTGATATTCCAACCTCAGAGGCTTCTAACTCTACAGACCCTCCTCCCTCGGGTATGTGTACCGTTATTTGTTTTTGTTTTTTTTTTGGTTGCTTTGTTTTTTTCCTGAGGAAAACAATAAAAACAAGCTAACAGTAACGAAGATTTCATTCACATCTGAGTGAATCACATCATTTCTCTCTTCTGCTCCACTTTTCGGTTTTGTCGTATCGATTTTTTCCAAATGATTAATGCATTGCTCTAAACCCTTTGCAACGAGTTGGGATTTAGGCTTGGTTTTCAGAGTTCGATATATCTGACGTTTTATCCGTGTTATGCATAAGGGCGAGACGCTTGAATGCAAACGATGTTTTCAGTTAAGCAAGACGTTAAAAAATTCCTTCGCCGTGTTCAATTGAAAGCCTTTTTTCATGACAAAGACGATGATTCTAACATCTCGAACAAAGATACTTTCAAAACACTTCAGATTCGAAAGTCTAAATGGAATCCCCCAGAGGGTCAGTTCTCATCTTCATATTTTTTCATCAAAAAATGTCGCCACGATATCAACAAACTCAAATTCAATCGTAACACCAAATTTTCCAATCTTTCTTCGGAAGAGTGGTCGGCACTAAAAAGTCTAAAAAAAAGCATAGTCATTAAAGCGGCCGACAGAGGTGACGCAGTTATTGTTTGGCGGGCCGACCTCTACTGTCATTCCCAATGACGAAGGTCTCCGGGCCCTCAAACATTTTTTCCCATCATTGCACTGTTGAGTAACCTAGCTCTGAAACACTACTCCGTCTGGCCGAACTAGTACTCACACTCAATTGCTTTTCATTCGGTAATGACTACTACAAATAAACTAATGGGGTGGCCATGGGTACTAAAATGGGACCCTGCTACGCCAATCTTTTTGTAGGTTTTATTGAACATCAATTTTTAGTCAATACCACGGCCCAAAACCTGAACTTTACGGTCGTTACATTGACGATTGCATCGGCGCTACGTCCTCTACCAAAGAGGAGCTCACTCAATTTATAACCGCGGTCAATTCCTTTCATCCGGCTCTTAAATATACCGACACTTCTTTGGCTTTTCCAGACATCAAAATTTCAATTGAAGGCAACGGTTTATGCACTAGTGTTTACTACAAACCTATAGATTCACATAGTTACTTGTTGTACTCATCTTCACATCCATCACACGTCAAGAACTCCATACCCTTTTCAGACTTCGTCGTTTATGTAGTGATGACTCTGATTTTTCCGAAAAATCAGAGGCAATGTGCCTGTTTTTCGATAAACGAAGCTATCCTGCCTCTGTCGTTCAAGCGGGCCACCACCGTGCCTAACAAATTGATCCACAGTCAGCACTAAAAACGGCTGAGAAGGACAACATTGACCGCATTCCATTTACTCTTACATTTCACCGTCACAACCACGCAGTTAAATCTATCATTCTTAAAAATTTTAAATTATTCCAAAACGATTCAGAGACTAGCACTATCTTTTCGCAACCCCCACTTATTTCATTCAAACTTGACAAAAACAGAGGCAACTTTTAAGTCAGGGGTTCATTTCAAACCAATGACCAATTTGGAACTTTCAAATGCGCTCGCTCATAATGCAAAACTTGTTCTTTCACTCATAACGTAGAGAAAATATCGGGACCCAAGAGATCCATTAAGATCACTGATCACTTTACGTGTACCAATATAGGCTGCAAAATAGGCTTGTAATAACATAAAAAAATCCAAACGAAAACATTGTATGCTAGTAAGGAGGAAAATAAAGAAATGAGCAAAAGCAAGACAAAAATATCCATGCGGATGTATTTGCGGCACGTGATCATTTAGATGTAAAGATTGCGTGACACCGATCGGAGTCTATTTTTCAGATCAATTCAATTAGTTCCTTCACTTCTTGCCTCTTTTCATTGGAAACATTCAATACAAAACTCAATAGATACCCAGAGGAGGCTCTTTATATGCAAGAAATGGATCCAGGTCCCGCAAAAATATTGCACAAACCAGTTCGCCATTTGATTGGCTCACTGACAACAGACCAAGTCCCTCAATCAATAGGAAAACGAAGTGAACGCAAATCTGACAGTCATTTTAAATCTTCTCTATCTTTCTGCCTAGCACTCTTTAAAGCAGCGCTTCTCAATAATACCTTTTTTTCAAACGTTTATTGCAGGTCCACGTTTCCTAGAGTTCTACAGTAGCGGATCACTGCAGGTCATTCGCTTTAAGCGACGCGAAGGAGCCTTCGTTCCAGGCCACATGTGATCACGATCACAGTGACGTGTGTGAGCGCTGCGCTACATTGGCGTCAACTTTAAATGATATCGAGGAAGGTTTGGTTGCGCAAAGTCAAAACATGACATCCAACACGAAGGAAGAACTTGTTTTCCGAGTTAAGAATGCAAAGACCGCTTTATTGGCGTGGAAGTCTCATCTCCTCCGTTCCGTCAATCAGGATGGCGCCAGAGTACAGCTTTTGGAAGCGATTGATGAGTCATCTGGTTTACGTGTTCACGATTAGGCAACGAAATATCTTCCTCGGAAGTATAGAGAAAGTCAGACCGATTGGTTCGGTAAACGAGGGATCCCATGGCATTTGACAGTTGCCACAAGACGAGAGGGTGGGGAGTTGCAGATACTAACGTTCGCACACGTTTTCAAGTCCTGTAGTCAAGACACCAGCGCAGTCCTTGCCGTTATGGCCGATGTTATTCGGCAGCTCAAGATCGTCATGCCCGGGCTCAAGATCATCTATTATCGGCAGGATAATGCCGGCTGGTACCACTGCGGAACCACTCTCGTCTGTGCAGCAGCCCTTGGCCATGAAGAAGGTGTCAAGATCAGGCGTCTAGATTTTCTGATCCACAAGGGGGCATGTGATCGGAAGGCTGCGACAATAAAGTCACACATGAGGATCTATCTTAACGCTGGAAATGATATCGAGACGCCTGAGCAGATAAGAGACGCGATGCTCTCTTTTGGTGGAGTTCCTGGTGTTAACGTAGCATTGTGTGAGACTGTCCAAGTCCCGACGGTGCTATCTTCAGCTCAGTAATGTCGAGTACAAGGAAGAGGGGCTACTAGTTTGGAGGGCGTATAGTATCGGCGATGGTAAACTCATCCCTACAGACAAATTGCATTGCCCATCCCCATCTGACCTACCGACCCTTACCAAAGTTACTCGCTCTTAGTCAAGCGCATTTACATCTGTCAAGGAGAGGCGCATAAAAGCAGCAGTTTGAGATCCAGATCCACCAGTGCATTTCGAAGAGGAAGACAGTAACGCGGCGATCTTCAGCTGTCCTAAGGAGGGTTGTGTCAAACTATTTGGGAGATATTCATCAATGCAGCGGCATTTAGACTGTGGGAAACACCAACGCGCTCTTGAGCGACATACTCCACTAGATAACGAGCAAAGGCAAGTCGAATTGTTTACATTCAGGCTGGTGAAACAAAATCTCCTCGAAAGGTCAAATTGGGTCAACTTGCATGGGGCCAATCGCCACAGAAATAACTTGAGGAAAACCATAATTTGTTATGCGCTTCACGCGAGTTCGATTATCTGATAATGAAATTTGACCTCATTTCTGTGATTTTTCGGCTTCATGGGTGGTCGACGGTTTTTCGTAATTTTCTCAAAAATGTTAAAACTCTAGAACTTAAGACTTATATCAAGATTTTTAGTATGCCATAGGTTATCTCTGGACGAAATATCAAGAGATCCATTTTTCCGACCTTGTGCCACATTTCCTCAATCTCAGTCGGTCCTTACAGAGAGTCGCTCTTAATCTTCCTAATCATTCTAAACAGCATATGGTAGTTTGCGGCCTTTCCTTACATCTAGGCAGTTCAGAAAGCCGTAAAACACTTGAAAAAAAATTTATCTTCCATTTCGGCACCCTTAATCCCCACGGAATCAACGAGAACTTTTCATTCAAGTAATTTATTCCTGTTTTCTTGTCACCATATTCCCACCAATGGCGTAGCTCCACTTTCTGCATATAAGAATGCATTTATGGTGTTTAAAAATTCTGTTTTTTTTTTCGGTGTAAGAAGTTGGAAATAAAATTTTCTTATCTTACATTTATTTTGTTTCATAAACTTTCCGTTCTCATCCTTGAGAGTTTGGATTTCGAGTTGCACTGCCAACGACAAGTTACTGTAAGCGAGCTGGCGGACTTGTCAGTCCGAGACGTCCAAAAAAATTTCAAATATCCATAGAAGGTGATAATAATAACGATAATAAGAACTATTGTGATAATTAGAATCACTATACATTCAGCTCACTATCTCTTTTCTGATTGGCCGAAGACGTATAGTGAATTTTTGCGAAAACTATTATGCAAGTATCAACGGTAGCATGTTTCTCAAAACAGGATCACATTGGGCGTATTGGCCAATGGCACGATAGAAGGGTCCCTGAGAGAAAAAAAAGCTTCCCATGAATGAATGAGATCTTTAATTTTTGACTTGATCATTAGTTAGACCTCAATACTAAAACCAGATTCATACAGAACACGTTCAGTTAAACAGGATGAATGAGACCCTAAACAAAGACCTAAAAAATACTTTTTCCGTGGGATCCAAGTAGACAAACATGCAGCTCATGAAGAAAGCAAATTTAAACTTAGTTGCTTTTGTGTGAATGGGGTGTAAGACATATCATAGTAAAGCTCGGATACAATGCGCGCTTTCATTTATTGAAAGAACGTGCTCTATCAGAGATACAGCGATCTCCGGTCATCGCAGTAAAGCAATCCTCGGAAATTACATCTTCTGCCCTTGAAGTGAACAATTAAGAGCTTGCTCTGATATCCTTCCCGATGCGTTGAGTGGAAGTCCACATCAGTCGCTACAGCCAAGTCCTAATGCAGATTGTGAACTTTGATAATTTGACATTTTTGACAGCTTTAGTCGTATTCAACCAATCAAATGAATGAAACGATACATATCGAGTTATTATCGTTAACATCGTTTTATCATCGTTATCAATATCATCATCATGTTGATATAGATCTCTCTGTTTTGGGTGGATTAGAGAGTTTCTATGTTCAACTTTGTCAACGCAAAGAGGTACTTACACAATTTTATCATCTGTGTCAAAAAACGTTTTGAGTTTTTTGAAAGTCTTTCTTTTTTTCCTTTGTCTCAGTTTTTTCCGTTTTTCTTTGGGTGTCCTGTTTTACCCCTTTTTTTTGATGAATTTTTGTTGTTAATGCTCGTTTACCTTTTTCTTTTCTTTTTTCTTTTTTCACTCACGTCCTAGTTTATTTTCTTCCTCCCAGAGAAGAGGATGCCTATGAAATGACCATCAGGGCGTTTTTGCCTTTCCTGGTACTCGCAAGGGAGTAATATAATTTATGTACGACGCACTAACATTCACTCGAATCGAGCTGAAAAATTCTTCATTTACAGTTTGAAATATTGTAGTTCAACCTCAAATCTTTTACGGGATGGTTCGACCAATGTCTTACTTGCATGCCTATGGACGCATCGCACTCGCCAATTTAAATCTACGGTTAGACTCGTGTTTTGACAACTTAAATTTCTTAGAGTACATTCCATAGTATCAATAAAGTCAACAAATATGTAACGAATATATTTTTTTAGAACCTCCACAACTAATACGAGCGAGTCCTCCACAGCCTCAAGTCATTGAAGGAAACGATCTTCTTTTGGATGCTCGAGTGCAGGGCTATCCTTACCCCTGGGTAACTTGGAGCCATCGTGACCATCTCCTACAGAATACGTCGGATGTCGATTCAGAAACAAGGCTTAAAATTCGCAACGTCACTGTATTAGAAGGCGGAATTTACATCTGTTAAGCCAAGAATCCATTGGGACACGATAACTTAACCTTTGACGTTAATGTTGAAGGTATTGATTTTATTTTTAGTTAGGCTAGCTTCGTGAGAGTAGATGTAGCCTGTTACAAAGTTTGCTCTTTTTCTTTTTGTGGTCTAAAAATTTCTCTTATTGTTCTTCGTGTTGTTTGTCACTTTTTTTTTGTTTTGTTTTTTTGCGTGTTTTATTTCTCTTATTCTTCTGTTTTGTTTTGGTTTTGTTACTATTTTTTATCGAAACCGATTGCTGTTTTAGAGAAAAGCTACACACTTACTCGGACGCTTTTTCCCTCTGTATCAATGTCAGCCGGTGACGACGACTGCAGCGTTAGGTAGGTTTTCCCGCTCTCTAACCCTTCCAGATGACCTAAAAGGAATGAACAGGGTTCCGAGAGCTGCCTTGGAATATAATAACTTCTTTAAAATATGAACAGCCGGGCAAAATATAGAAGTTATTTAATTTGGCCACTCTGTCTCTACCCTTAGATTCCCAAACTCCATCATCTTTACCAACATCAGGTAAGCACGATGTGTTCTATTTCAATTTTTCCAATGTCAGTTTTGGAGCAAATTTTAACTGTGTCCAAACTTACATAGGATTGCACTGATTTTTATCAATCCTTTTTTTCACGACCAAAATCTTTCCTACTGGTTTTTGTTTATCATCGAACTTAACTCTATCTCAAAGCCGCACTCGTGGAATTGCATATGAACTGATTCCCTCCGCTTCTCTCCTCACTTCCTTCCACTTCAATACCTGCACCTTCTCATCCATATTCCTACTCACATAATCTCCCTCTAATAGAAAAACAAGTTTCAGTCCAACCTGTGTTAAGTGGTCACTCACGCGGAATGGCAGCATGACCGCTTCATACAGGTTGACCGCAATGCAGGTTCCACAGAATAGGGGTATTATGAAAAACCCTTTAAAAAGTGCCACTTTATGTCACAATTGACCACGAAGATATACCAGATTGAAAGTGACTATGAATACCAAGACTTTAATCCGTCATGAGTTATTAACTTAATTCCAATAACTTAAGAGCCAATGTCAGCATGAATCAAACAAACAGCGGCAAGTCACCCAAATTTGTTTTCCCTCCTACTTTTATATTTTGTAGCCCAATATGTTGTGGTGTAGTTTTTTTGCGATCCCATAAGTAAGCTGCTTTATCAAGTGTGATTGTGTCAGCGAAAATAATGTTCACTATTTCCAAAAGAGTTAAGAAGAGACCCCACTCCTCTTCATCACGAGGCATATGGCTGCAGATCATCAATGGAAGGAAACGGCCAAGGCACCACATCTGTGAAGCTAATATCGCATTATGATCAACAGAACTACCAACACACAGTTTTGTCAATTTCATAAGTAAAATAAATTATATATATATATATATATATATGTATATATATATATATATATATATATATATATATATATATATATATATATGCATGTATCTGTGCCATTGATCAATTACAAAAACATTCCGCTACTTTTAAAAAATATACCAGATACGGTAGGATCGTGATGTTTAGCAATTGGCAAATGTTTGGGAAATTTTGAATTACTGTAACTTGCAGTTCAAATATTACCATAACAATAAAAATGGAGAAAAAACAGCCTTTTGCTTACAAAATTAATACTAACAATGTACATTAGGGTGATAATCCAATGATAATGAATGTATCTTGTGTCAGAGTTGCAAGTGTTGGAATTTAAGGTGGCACTTGATATGGTTTGTTGAAAACATCTGGATAACCATAATCTAAAATTTTAATCTAATAATTTAAATTTTCCAAGGTGAAAAACTGCTGCTCATTTAAAGTATATTTGAGGAGTTCTTTGACTTCATGTTGAAGACGCCCGTCAAGGACATCATGCATTGCATCACCCGGAAGACCTTCAATGACATGGAACTATCGCGACTGGTTCAGGGCTGATATCAGATTTATTCCAAACTGTGAAGAAATGTCAATGACTGAAATTTCGATGGCTGTGCACTGCTGATCATACATTGCTTTGGTGCGTAATTGGAAATCATCTTCCACAAACTGTGGAGAATAATGAGAAAGTTATTGGATTTCAACACCACACTTCAATTACAAACTTTATAAGACACGATTTACAACACAGTTTTTTCATTGTAAGTCACAGGATCAGGTGGTTTAATCATTAATAGGGGGTAGTATCTTCGGTACTACATAGAATGGTTCTCACATGGCTACTGGGAAAGTTAAGCAAAAAGTTATCACAATGAGCAAACGCCTAAGGAAAAAAGTTATGAGTAGGCAACAAAGTGCAAAAGTGCAAAAAGAATAGGAAGAGATTTAGACAGTTGCATATA